AAAAAAAAAAAAAAATGGCTATTATCAAAAAGACAAAAAGTAACGAAAAGCTGGTAAGGATAGGGAGAAAGGGGCATGCTAGTACACTCCAGGTAGGCTATGGGAAACAGTATGGAGGTTCCTCAGAAAACTAAAAATACATCCACTATATGACCCAGCAATCCCACTGCTGGGTATATATTGAAAAAAAAAAAGCAAATCAGTATATGAAAGAGATAACTGTATGTCCAAGTTTACTGCAGCACTATTCACAAAGGCCAAGATACGGAATCAACCGAAGTGCCCATCAATGGTTAAATGGATAAGGAAAATAATGGTATATATGCACAAAGGAAGATTATTCAGCCATAATCCTGTCATTTGCAGGAACATGGATGAACTGGAGGTCATTATGTTAAGCCAGGTACAGAAAGACAAGTATCACATGTTCTCACTCACATGAGGGAACTAAGTAAAGTTGATCTTTTAAGGTAGAGAGTAGAATGACAGTTACCAGAGGCTGTGAAGTGTGGGTGTAGGGATTGAAGGGAGGTTGGCTAATGAATATAAACATACAGTTAGACAAAAGGAATAAATTCTAGAGTTCTATTGCACAGTAGGTGACTATAATTAACAGTAATTTATTGTGTATTTCAAAACAGCTAGAAGATCTGAAATGTTCCCAACACAAAGAAATGTTTGCAGTGACAGATACCCCAATTACCCCATTTGATTGTAACACATTGTATACATGTACCAAATATAACTTGTACTCCTTAGAAACGTACAATTGTTATGTATCAATAAAAATGAATTTGGAAAAATACACGTAGATTTGTATTATTTTACGTGGGAAGGGCCTTTCTAAGCAAAATACCAAAAGCAGAAACCTTGGGGGCAGATCTGTAGCTTACAAATCAAAACTTTACGCACATCAAGGCCACCACAAACTCCAGAAATGGGCCTAAAGACGTGTAAGAATAAATTATACGAAGAAGGAGTGTTTCAAGTTAATAAAGAGATGAATTATTCAATAGATGGTATCAGAAATGGCTATTACTTAGAGAAAAAAATGAAGCTGGATTCCAAACTCACCCCACACCAAAATAAATTCCAGATGTATCCAACATCTTACAAGTACCAAAGAAAAACGAGTTTATTTTAAAACCCAGGGTCCTTATGGGGCCCCTCCATTTTCACGTTTGGGAGAACTCTTCTCTCCACAAAGACCACATGGGAGGGCAAGGAAACCCTTTAAAAACACAGGACAAAGCTCAAAAGTATTTAGGAAAATTTTTGACCATTAAAAACTTAAAATCTTTTCTCTAAAAAAAAATCCAAACCAAGACAAAAGAACATAATTGCAGCCAAACGGATGAATTGAGAAATCTGTTGTTAACATATATGGAAAAGAATACAAGCTGCCAAGTCAAAACGAAATACAAGGGCTAAAACACGAAGAGATTTCAACCTCACCAACTGACAACGGGAATTAGGGCTCCACCCGGGCAAAGCAGCCCAGAGCTCCCTCCGAAGGAGAAGCACGGGTGGAGCTGGCGGGCGGCCAGACGGGTTTGAACTCGACAATCTGCAAGTACCGATCCGGCGGGGGCGAGCCGCGCACCCCCACTGACTCGCGATTGCGCCGCAATTCGCAGCTGCAGGGAGGCTTCCTATCTCTGACATCCTTGCGTTAAAAGAACTTACATATTACCTTCTATTAAACAATTTAAAGTCAATACTAAACAAGGAAAATATCTGCCACGTTGCAAACCGTTGGTCTCATTCATTAAAATAAGGCCTTACAAAGTAGCTGGGAAAAGACCGCACAAAACGGTGTGGAGCCCGGACGTGGGGCTCGGCTGGCAGCGCCAGTCGCGGGAAAGCGCGCCTTTAGGGCCCTGAAGGTTACGCACGGAATAGAAAACCCCGGTCTTCACTCTTTGAGGAGGACACTCCCCACACCCCACACCGTCCTCTCTATCTAGACCCCGCCAAGAACGCGGCGCAAAGGGACGCCAGGGTGCAGGGTGAAGGAAGGGGCTGGGGGTCCGAGCGGAGGGGGTTCTGGAGGGTCCGACGAGGAGGGGGTAAGGGTCTACGGGTCCGGACCGGGGAAGGAGCGCCGGAGGGTGGGAAGCGGGGGGAAGCGGGGAGAATCGGGAGGTCCAGAGGGCGCGGGGCGTGGCGAGGGGAAGGGTGGGGACTGGGTTCGGAGGGTGAGGCATCGTTGGGAGGTACCGGCGCTAGTGAGGCCGGCAGCGCGTGCCCGCAGGAAGCATCCCATCGATGCGAAGGACACGCTGGCCCCGGTGGTGTCCGTGAGGGGTCGGGGTCCTGGACGGCCGGTGGCCGACACGCGCCTCCACTCACCGTCGGCGCAGCCAGCTAGCGCGTGAAGAGGCTACATCCCGCAGCGCCTCAGACAAAAGGGCCGCTCCGCCCCGTCTGCGCAGTCGCCAATCCCTGGGGGCTTTAGCCTAAATGCCTGCCCCCACGACTCGGGCCGCCAATCCTGGAGCACGGCGCTCTCCGGCGACGGTGGTCGGCACCGCCAGTGCGGCCCAGAGCCCGCCCCGGTGACCCCCTGCTGAGTAGCTCTCCAGCGCCACCTAGCGCCTAGGCTTCCGCGGTGCCTAGAGGGCCCTCTGCTGTGCTCTGGAGCTGGCCGCCTCCGGCTACAGACGTACTTCCGGGCGCGGAAGCGGGAGCGGAAGTCCACCCCCGCGTGTCCCAGTGCCTTCTCGGCCGGCGGCGGGTCTTTTGCTGTCTTAGAACTAGGACTGGCCAAACTCGTTCTCGCCTCCGAACTTTTGCCCGTGATGTCCCCGCTGGCAGGAACGATCTCCCCCTGACCTCGCCTCACTGGTCCCTGCTGTCGCTTCAGCTCAGCTGTCACCTTAGAGGCCCTTTTGTTTCTTCCCGGCCCTCTGAAATCCTCATGGCCGGTTACTTGCCTATGGTTATTTCCGCTCACTTAGGATGAGCGCCGTAATGGCAGAGGTTAAGTCAGTCGTTCATTGCTGTGCTCTGGAACCCACCATGGTCCTGGGCAGGTGGCCTTCAGTTTATCAGCTGTGGCCACCACTGCCAGTCAACTCTGCTCTGTTCTGTTTTGTTTGAACCATGGTACCGGAGAGGGTGGTGGGCGTTACAGGGACGCAGACGCGTCCCCACTACAAGATGAGGCTGCAGGCACAACCAAGGACCAGAATGCCCAAAGCAGGAAGGTTAGGATTGGTTTGCAGTGGAGTCTGGGGAGGGGAGAAGGTCGGCCTGCTTATCTACTTTCTAACATGTTTATACCCGCCTCCTACCAGTCCTGAAGGACAGGCCAGTGTCACTTCCATTTGGCATCTGGGGCCCAGACGATCTCAGGAAGAGATAAGTCTAGGCTGGAGGAAATGGGGAGAGTCCAGCATGCAGTAGGTGTATATATGTTGGATAACTTGACAGTGATTAATACCCAGGTTTGGTGTCTTGCTGTTGGAGAAATGGACCAGCACCACTACAGGGATCTGAACAACTAGGGACGCCAATCCAGCAATATTGATCCACATTACAGAGGCACTTGCGTTTTCATACAGCAATTTCCCTGTTTAAAATTTACCCTGGCTCGGCGCCTGTGGCTCAAGC